TCCAGTTGTGGTAACGGTAAAAAATATATACGACTTAATGGACCGAAACATTTCTTACCTATAACAGATATTTCTCCAGAGCCCTTTCCCATTTTATTATCCTTTTCCTCCTTTTCATTGTTTCCTTCTTCTCCTGATAAAATTCTTTTCAACCTTTAATAGATTGTTTTTGTCTCTTCAGATACCTTCTTCCTGTACTGGGCATTTTCCACCGTTTTGGACTTTTTCCTGAGAATTTCCGCTTTTCACTGAGAGCAAATATGGCGCGGGGTTTTTGATTTTTTTTTTGTTTTTTTATTTTTTTTTAAAGATTTTCTCGACTAAGTATCTTGGCAAGTATTTTTTTTCATTCGAGTTTTTTGCGTTTTTTGCTCATTTTGAAACATATTGTTTATTCACTTCCCATTCTTAAAATTTCCCCTAAAATCCTGTGCAGCCATTTATTTTTTTGAATTTTTTTTTTGCTCACTAGTTATCCGGAATTTTGAAAAATTTTTTGCTGCTCATATTCTAGCTCTGGGCTAATTTGGGCAGTTCTAGCCAGCCAGAGATTGTAGGCCGAACCAGTAAGAGCAAAAAAAGAGCAAAAAAAACGTATTAAAAGCTTTTTTTAGAATTTTCGGCCGGTGCTCACTGAGCGTAAGATTTGATTGCTATGTGGTACATGAGGTTGGCAATTCGACGTCATCCAGCACTGATTGCTTTTTTTTGCTTCAGTTGGTGTTGAAAAGCGTAACAGGTAGATATTTGGGCCGACAGCTAGAAATTAAGAACGATCCAGAAAGTCTACGCCAGGTGCTCTCGCTGGTCTACTTCTGCCTGGGTATGATAAATTTAAAAAGAATTTTTTTTTTGATTTGGTAATTGGCTAACAACATCCGAACTAAACTGGTTCTGGGAATTACGCTTTCTGAAATGAGTACCAATTTGCACTTGCGCCACGACTTAGGACAGAGAGAGTTTTCTTCAATTTTAGCTTTAGACCCGGACTTTTGTAGCACTGGTGCGTGTACCAGTGAGTGGGAGGGGTACGAAAGATCCCCACTGGCACAGGTAGCTGCCTAAAATTATTGCATTCCTCTCCAGAGAAGTAAAAGCAGAAGAGCAAGTGCAAATGGCCACTGGCATCAGGCTGAGCATCAAAATTCGGGGGTTTTCCCGCCCGGTGGGCTGTAGAAAATTGTAAGCCACGCTGATAGCGTAAAAGTGCATCAGGGCGGTTGCATCAGATCAAAGTTTTGAATTAAGGAAACCAATGGGATGGTTTGTTTTTTTTTCAGAATCCAAAACTGCCTACAATTGTCCGGCCAGTGCACTGATGGTTTTTGATAAGGCGGCAAATCCGATGGTACTGGAGGTGGTCAGTGCGCAAGGATGGCCAATAATGACGAGTGCTTTCATCGGTGATATGCGGGGTTTAACGCCCGAGGCATTGCTGAATTACACGAAAGCTGTTAGCGCTCGACTCAGCGATGTTACACGAATGTGCCTTCATTTTCAGGTTTATTTCTTTTTTTGAAAATCAAAAATTCCTTCTTTTTTTTGAAAACCATTTCTTTTTTGAAAACCAAAAATCCCTTCTTTTTTTTTGAAAATCAAAAAAAAAATAATAATTAGACTTTGAATGTATTTACAAGAGAATATTGCTACTTGCTGTTCTCAGTTCATTTTTCCCCCTTCCCCTCCCCCCTCCTCCTCCTCCCTTCTCCCCACTCACCCGTTTGGCTCAGACATTTTAGGATCTTTGGAATGCCCTTTTTTACCTTTTTTTTATTGTTGAAAATCTTTGGCAATACCAGCTAGATGAGGATTCGCAGTAGAAACTCGTCTGTATTTTATTTTGTAGTGACGTGGCGCTAGATAGCAAAACGTGTCTGTATACGGTCCAAGGTATCTGTGTCTTGTGTGGTGTATGAGGATATGAGTGTGTGGGGCCGGGGGGGGG